TAACTTAATAACTTATTGAAAGACATGTAAAATATTATATTACTTAACCACAATTCACAATGTTTACAAATTTGTAGTCATTATTTCCCATTACTTTTCCATTTCTACTTCTTAAATGATAAACAGTGTTTTAAATCTTTTAAAGATGAAATGAGCAAAAAATATCATTCGTGAAAGAAAATGTGTAGTTCAGGTAAATATAAGTATTATATAACCAAAAGCAAAGAGTCTTTACAGGCAACACGTAGGTCTCGCAATACTAAACGGTAAAGACTTATCCTTTCATTTCATTTTAGCATGTAAGGGTTTGATATATTTACTTATGTTGAATACAGGCGATCTTATTTGACAATTATAATGCTTCACAAATGTAAACATTGCCTTTTGCCTCAGGATTTTCATGTTCGTGTACACACTGCCTTAACTTTTTTCTTGTTTCTTGAAATAACAAAATATGAATTAAGGATAATGTAAATGTAAGTACTTCATAAAATGTTATAATGGCTAATGGTGTTGAAAGGTCGATTCACCTCATGTTTAAAATCAGTCCCACTGATATTGTACTTTGACACGATTGTAATTTCTAATGGACTGGAGTAGTTATGTAATAAGATCTGCAAACATACTAAAAAAATCCGTTTATAATTGATCCATGTGGTCATTTTTTAACGAGGTCAGAACTTAATGCTTCACCGGCTATCCCTTCAAAGCCAAGATTAATGAAACTTACACTCGGTATATCTATCTATCTATCTCTGGATACTGCCAACCCCTCTTACGAGTGTTACAGGCAGGTATACATTGTATACATTTAAGAAACAGCTTTAAGATACAAGGGAATCCGGGAACCAGTCCCATATGTTTATATGTGGTAAAATGGTAAATGAAAACCAATTAAATTATAGCAATGGAGATATTGGAACTTTGTACTGTCAACAACGTTAAAGTTTTTCAGGTGAACTTTTATTATGATTGGATGTTTTTTAAAGAACAGTTTTCTTTGGGAATTCATTCATTTGAAAGAATACTCTCAATAAGTAGATGTATCAAATATGAATTCAAAACCGTTTAGATGAATTACTTCATTTTGGGTTTAAATCAAACACCCTAAAACATGCTAATTTAAAAAGCTTTATACATAATTTTGGCTAACAATGAGGTTTTGTTATTTTCAAAATAAATTATTGAATAACAATGCAAAACAAATAGACGTGATTCAATAATAGTGTTACAACAGCCGGTCACGTATTCATAGCTGAACATCTCATACGTAAAACATATAATGTAGAATTTTTTATATTTCCTACATAATAAATGTTGCAAGACATTTAAACTTATATAACATTGTTTTTTTTAATCTTAAAATAATAAACAAATATGTATTTTTATATAGGAACTATTCACAAATTATGCTCATACTGCAATGTTAATTGTTAACGTGTGTATAAAAACATGTAATTTACCGTTCACTGAAATCTGTTATTTCAGTAAAATATTCTTTCTCCCATTGTATTCTTTATAACTTCAATATAGACAAGCAAATGATGATACTACCTTACTACTTCTTTGCTTTAAGTAGATGCCACAAAGATGTGGGATGCAAAGTGAGGCAATACTGTTTTCTTGGAATCACTTATGTCATCCCACAACAAGTAAAACTGGTTTAGGCCTCTTAGATCAAGTGTTATAACTAGGATAATATCATATATATTTGCGCATATTTTCATGTTTATCATAACTATCAAATCACGATTTCACATACTTACCGCTGTAAGTAATGTTAAATTAATCACCGTTTTCCGGATGACATAATTTGCAATCACGTTTATTAAAGTCTTAAGGTATGAGAGTAGAACGAGAATATTTACCCTATAATTATCACTCACGACATCTAATTAGGAGTTCATTGAATTAATTAATAATGACACTGGCAGACATTCGTGCATCTTTACCGAGTATTTAAAAGGAAGGTATATCTGTGTGACGAAATTCGGCACACATAAATGCAAGGGATTGTAAGATTCTTATGTTTGTTTACGAAGGATCTTTTGGCAGAATCGAATGCATCATTTAGGGTCTTTCATATGAAAGATTTTTAAGACCAGCAGATAAGATTTCTCTTACTTAAACAGGGAATGAAATATATCCATTATGTAAACAAGACAGGTTTTATTTTTTAAAAGAGTTTTATTTATTTAAACTGGTCTAAACTCTTTACAAACTTCAATCAAATTTCCTAGAAAAAATATATTATAGCATTTTATTTTGTAAAAAGTTGGCTGATTGATATCAAAATCACTTAATTGTAATTGAAATATTACAATAACATGTTGCTCGTATTTCTTATTTTGAAATCATCACTATATGTCTTATTATTGACACATTATTGACTTAAATGTTAAGCTTAATGCTGAATCTCATTTTTTATCATGAAAATATCTAACTTTTTACATAAAAAATATAATTATATTTGTGATTTTTCTTAAGAACATGTTCTATAATATTTTCAAAAAATAATAATAATTTTCAGAAATAATCAAACACGACTAATTTACCATATAAACATATATGATAATGATAATAATATGGTCAATATACATGAAATAAACTATAATAATTTTTATCAATTAGTTAATTATTAGATATCAGATAAGATATATACAATGTAGACGAAGTGAACTCTTTCAGATCAGTATATTTATTATCATGAACTTGGATTAAAGATTGTATGTTGTTAAAGGCTGCAATAACACTTAAGTGAAAGTTTATATATGCATATAATTATTCTTCTAAAACAAATTCCAAACATCCAAGAATATGTTAAATATGTGCACGCATTATAAGTAATCATTTAAATATATGCATTCATTTCTTATTGAAAAATTTGGCTCTATCGAAAATAAATTTCTTATAATCTCTCTTTATTAACATGAAATGTAAATTCCGTAATATCTTTAGAAATAATGGGGTTATTTTTAACTTATAATATTGAGAAATCTTCATTTGAGCATCATATTTATGATATTAAACCATAAAAAATTGAGTAACAGGACCTGTTATTGATCTTCTTTCAAGGGCATTCTCTTTATTAGTACACAAAATTTTTATCACTATCTTATTTTCAATAGTTCAATCGATTTAAACATGTTAGGTTAAACATTGTATTTGTTGGCAGGTATTTCTTCCTCAAAGGGACTCCACTAAGGTTTTTTGACATGACTGGTTTTGAAATAAAACTTGAAAAACGTTGCAATGCTTTTCACTCAGTTTGGGCTAAAAATACCATTTTCAATGTATATATGAGAATATATGAGTCTTTATGGTCCTGTGTTACTGGGTCATGTGGGGGTTGCGTTCATTGAACGCCGCCCTTCCTTGTTGATCTTGTTTTTCATATTTTAAGAACATCAGCTGATTTTAAATAAGACATTCAAATTTCATATTATAAGCTTAAATTAGACGTCAGTTGAGTTCCTTAAAGTCTCTATATCTATCACAAAATGAAGTTATACTCATCTTCAACCGGCATGGCATTTTTGCCCTTGCTTCTCCAGTCTGTCATTTCCAATGCGTGTAGTCTTTACTCTTTGTCTGTGAGTGAAACAAATTCTTTCATATCCTCTTTCCATATTATTGCTTCATTTTTTATATTTTGCATCTATCTATCATTCCTTTCATGTTAAAAAAATCACTAACGTTTGAAATTAAAAAATTATACTGTCAATATCATTTGAGAAACATTGACAAAATCATTCATAATTATCTGCATATGTGACTTCAGAGATAAATGTTGAAGTAATGTCTTTAGAATGGAAACATAGTCTAAGTCATCCTTTTCACTTCAGTGTTGTTGATTTTCCTGGTACTTCGGGATCATTGATTCCAGCACATTAAAGTGTTGAAAATTGAATACCGCTCAAGACGGTGCTAGCGTGCATTAGGGATGTTGCACGTTTTCAATATCCCTCATGTACAGTCTCATTCAAATCGGGTCTGCAATTTTCGTGTAAAAATTGTTGAGATAAATGCTTCCGAGGTATCACATTTATCAAGATTATTCTATTTGGCCACTTATTGAATGGATGTAAAGATATACTATTTAACCCTACTAAAAACATGACTTCAACATTACTCTCGTGATAAATGATATTTCGCCCTCGTTTGTCAAAATTCCGGTAAAAGTTTCTGAACATAAATAATTTTTGTTCGGTTTTCAAATCAGCTTTACCTTTGTAACACATTTTTACATATAAACAATATAAACAACTATCGTGATGATTGTTGCCTGGCATAGATTAGCTTTAATATTCAGAACCACTTTATAATGGTTAAGATTTAGATATTGGATACGATAGAGTTTTCCCTGAAACCATATAGACTCGTTTTTTATCAGGTTCAGACATATATTTGATACGATATATGGTTTAATTTAATAGGGCAATTATACTTGTATCATAGTTTGGGGACCTCTCTGTTGAAAAAGTGTCAGAGTTAAATCGTAAACATATACATGCACAGTGCGGTAACTGGAGTGCAGGTATCAGTTACCCGCACTCCAGATAATGCCCGTGGATTGGTTCATTTTTGCCGGGGTTTACATATTGTGACGGCAGAGAAAGGGAAAGGGGCAGAACTATCATATTCAAATGCTCGTTCATTGGTTAATTTTTTCTGGGGTTTCATATTATGACAACAGGGAACGTGCTGTTATGTTTGACTATGATACAAAAAAGAAAGAACACCAAAACACTCGGCAATCTGATTTATACTCGGGGGCTACGCCCCCTCGTACAAATCAGATAGCCTCGTGTTTCGGTGCTCTTTCTATTACATATTTGCAGACACACTTTTAAATGTTCTTGATTACATTGTTTTAATGCATAGGATAATGTTTTATATACAACTTAAATATTTCTTAAAATTGTATTAAAATAGCGATCTTCACAGCGTTCCAGGTGTAGTCATAACTACGGTTGATCGAAATAGAACACAACAGAACAAAATCTTTATTTCTATACTTGAGCTCTTCGCTTCTCGTCTATGAAAATACAATAAATACATATACAAAGTCAACTTTATTGTAGTATGTATACAGAAAGAGATAAATGAAATTGTGAATAACAATTTGTGTAACAAAACCAGATATGAGTCATCAGAACGTTCTTTAAAGTAACTATAACTCTGACATCTATATTTCTGCATATGACGTATTTAAGTCTCTAACAATATGTCTCTGATGAAGATATTACAATTATACAAAATATAGCAGAGCAGATCGTTGGATCTGATTTTTAATATACAACTGAGATAACAAGCTTGTTTGTTTGTTTGTTTCATTTTACGCATTTTCCCAACAGTATTTCAGTCATATAGGCTGGTAGTTTCCCATCGTTCCTGGAGAGTTACACCAGTACTAGACTACCTTCCTCCGCGCTAAACTACCAAAGCATCTCCCGGGGATCGAACTCACACCAGAGAGGTAACTGGATTAGAAGTCATCGACTCTAACCCTTCGACCACGGAGGCAGTTCATAGATAACAAGCTAATTTGTATTAAGATAACAAGCTAATTTTTTTTAAATATCTATGTTTGTAACTGACATTTGATCAAAATAAATATAAATAATTCATTGAACAAAGAGGATATGTGTGTATTTCAGAGTATCATTTTCCTTTTTTAAGAAATGAAACACTGTACCAAATTATAAATATATGATAGATAATAAGTTAATTGTATAAATGTTAATTCGCAATGATATACAATGATATTGACCGTAAGTTCCGAACAGAAAAAATATACACTTCCTTAGCAGCTACCGTTACTACACAGCGAACGGCAGTGAAACATTACATCGGGTTGTAACATCAATCTATCGCCCACGCCCTATAGCACCGACTTATAAAATATGGTGAATTGGTAATAGATAAATATGACATTTTTTACATATGGCTGACTATAGATGTACTTCTATACTAGAACTACATATAACACAATGAGTCAGACCAATCTGATCAGAATCTATAGTGTTGTCGGCCATTTTTTTATCAACAAATCTCTCAGTCTCACATAAACAATAAGTCCAAAATCAAAGAAAAACAAATTAACACAGTGAAGGAGTCGTGATCTAAAAAGTATTTAATAATATAATATGAAAAATGTGATATTTATATATTATATACATTATAGCTTAGCTTGTTTAAAAAAATGGGTTATATATTAAAAGAAAGATCAGTATGATCATGAAATGTTACTCCTATTTCCTCAAACTTAATCGCAAAATATTGAGAGAAAATAGTACTTTTAAATGTTATTAATGTCAATAAGATGTGATATCAAAGTCAGGACATTACACATCTACCATGATTTGTTACAAGGCTGTAAAATGTTTCGTTCGCATAATTATCTACGTGTATATGTCAAATTTGGAGCCGCCGTATATGATAATTTAGAGCGAACGCTTTATTTTCTTGCGATTGTTACATTGTTATTTATATTGCTGCCTGCTAACCGCTGTGTTACGTCCTTTTTTTAAATCAGCAACTTCAACCCTCAATGTATGATGTGAACGTTTGACTAGACATTGGCGTTTAACTTTTGTAACTCATGCGCGTCTTGGTGGGAGCTCTGTGTGATATCACATGAAAACGACTCCATGAATTTGGTATCTAACGTACCGGATTTCTCAGAACTTTTTCTACGTATATAATTAAGCTCGTGTCCAGATTTCGAAGAAAATTCCGTCTTTCTAGTTGATGTTTTGAGTGAATTGGATGAGGTCCGTGAAACAACAGACAATCTTCTTGGATCTCCAACGTATCTTTGAACAGGCTTTATAAATGTCCTATACAGGCACTTACGAAATCGCCTGTTCAGAATGGTGTAAATGTAAAAGTTTGCATGAAACGACACGACTAATAATAACTCGTATGACATGTGTATAGCTCGGTTGCTTTCCAGTTTGATACCTTTGCCGTTATCTAAGGTTTTCTGCATTGCATTATACAGCAGGAATATACCGTATGGTATTTCGGGGACCAGGAAGACTATAACAATTGCTGTAACAATGATGGAAATGCGACGGTTTTCCACCACACGTCTCGACAACTGAGAAGCTGTACTATCCATCCTACGCAGGTTTCTTTCGCCAAGATGTAAATGCCGGATAAACAGGCCTGTAAACACGAAAAGGGTCACACATGGTATTAAATGGCGTAGAAAGAAGGCGAACCATAGATAAATACAGCCAGCTCCACATCCACTCTCTGCAAGTTCCCATTGACAAAGCCCACCTACTGCTTTGTTGCTACCTAGATGATAAGAATGTAGCACCGGAGATACCGCAAAAATTACTCCGCACCAGATAAGTGTTTTTCCTTCGCTAAACAAGAAATGTGACTTGAATGGATAAGCCACAGACACGTATCTTTGAATGCCAAGAAAAAGAGTGAGAAAAATTGAAATAGTGTGGAATGATTTAGACAAGAAGTATTTCGAGATCATAAACCCATTGCAAAGGTTCTTTGACAATGAGTATCCGTCCTGAGCCATCTGACTTCCGTAATAATCATTTCCATAAGTGGTATCGTTCCCTAGATAAATAGGAGTATAGTCGTTGTAAGAGTAATTTCCTTGGTCGCCGTAGTTTTCGGGAAGTGGATCATATCTCATATATACCATTATGTAACTTGGCAACGTTACAAGCCCAGTCAATGAATCCGATACTGCAATCGCTGCTAGAATCATGTTTGTCGCATTGCGCATTTTTCTGCTTAACAGTACCATGATCACTATTATATTGACTAGAAATACAAAAATAACGAGTATTTCCCAAATATACAAGTAGACCGGTCTCTCAAAGGAGTAACCAGGATACATATAAATATCCTTATAGTCATAATCATAATCTTCGTATGACTGATTCAACAGAGGTTCGCTTGTTATATCATAATCAACATCACTTTCAGTGTTTGTTACAGACTCGGTGGATAATTCCCTGGTAAATGTTATCGTAGTTGTCAACAATTCGGCCGATGGCGAGGTGGTATCAATGAAATGTGAAGAACTGCTCATTGATGTCCCTGTGGAAATGGTTGAATTGAATGACATAATTGCAGCTGATGCCTGCGATTACTTTATATGGATATCCTCACTGAGAAAGCAGATACCGTCCTTTTTATTGTAAGTTCTCTCGAAGCTGAAATAAACAAAATTATGTTGATATTAATATTATGTTATATGAATGACAACATAGTGACTAAAACTGAAAAGTCTTAACAGCGCTCTAAAAACATGAAGACTAGAATTTTCCCATAAATCTATTAGCTTATTGTAAGACACGATCATATTGGGTATCAAGGTAATAAAATGTTAGATCTCTATCAAATTTAAAGACAGTGCAATTATGCTGTTTCCATAATTTTTTGCTTAATAGGCTAAACCAAAATCGTTATAAATACGTTATTTTGCAAGATAAGAATAAAATCTGTGGCATAATACAAATGCATGTTAAATTTGTTTCTTTGAGCGCACTTTCACTAAATTTGCCATTAAAGAATTTAAACTATTATGTGTACAAGGGGGGGGGGGGGGGGGGGCGTCCGTGGCCAAATTGTTATGGTCGTTGACTTCCAACCACTTGCCCCTCATTAGTTTCTAATTGATACACCTATGTTATGTTACGTGACGTTACGTTACGTTTCGCTACGCTAAGCTATGCTATTTTTTGAGCTATGCTACGCCATGATACTATGATATCTATGCTATGCGTTGTTATGTTATGTATAGTTATGTCTTATTTCATTGATTTCACAACATCTTGCTTCAGATTTTCTTAAGCAAATTAACTAGAATTTAAGTATAAGACAAAATATCTATATGCCTTATATGTCCGACTAAGCCACAAATTCGTGATCAGAAATGATCAAAACTCATATTGGAAATTATTTATATAAATGCAAGACTCGCTTCTCTTCAAATATATTTTTGCAAAGTTTAAGAAGTATCAAAGAAGTCATAAAGATAAAATTTATGACATAGTGCTTGTATCATACTGTTGTATAGATGACTGTACTCTTCATTGAATGGAGGTTTATTTGATTATTACAATGTCTGTAGTGTTTTTGAATGATACTTTATCCGGTGTTAGTGGGTGTGAGAAATGTTGCACTTTTGCAATTTTATGACTCTGTGAACAGACTTTAAAAATTAAATGTGGACTGCCCATTTAAAGTATCTTTTTCCATTACTCTTGAGTGATCCCGCCTTTTTAAGACAGTTTTCTATATGTGAACAATAATGTTAAATAGTCCGAATTCTGATAGAATGTGAAATATTGACAGATGTAAAACAAGATACCAACTATAAATTTATCACATTTTAACATACATATTGTTACTCGTTAATTGCCGGAAATACTGTCAGATCAAACAGATCAAAACAGGAAGATTATTATATAGATAAATAATGAGTGACATTGTTTTTCATAAACTTCATTTCCTGATCACTTAAAGCACTAATCAGTAGTTAACTAGATGGATACAGAGTGATCGTACAAATGGATATAACATTTGGGCCGTGTCATGACAATACCAACATAGTGGGTTTGCGACCAGCATGGATCCAGACCAGCCTGCGCATCCCCGCAGTCTGATCAGGATCCATGCTGTTCGCTATCAGTTTCAGTACTTGTTGTATTTTCTGATCGCAAGATCAGTGAATACAAAGCTAACATCCACAGTCTAACACAAAATTTCCTAACAGACCTAACAACGCAAAGTAGTTTTCACTCAGAACTGCTTAAACACCAGCAATTTAAAAGAAAGAATAGTTTTTAATGTAGGCATTTAACGAATTACAGTGCATTAAAAGTTTAGAGTAGTCAATAGAAATATGAGTTTACAATCACAAATTTCGCAGATGAATATTTTTTTACCCAATGAAAAATGTTCGGCTATTTCCGTAAAGCTTAATCAATGAAAATGCTATTTTAGCTATGTCGATTATCTAATACTCCAGAGCCTAGTACACAAATAAATCTGACTGTCGAGTAGTGGAATATTTACATGTCGTACTGTTTTGTCGAAAAGATTTTCGCTAAATTATTTTCATCAGTGTTAAACAACAGGTTTATCGTGAACAAAATATCTCGAAATAAGTAAAAATTACAAACACGAAATGAAAATTCTAAAATTAGAATTACAATGTATTTGTTTTTATTCAAACTACATATGTATTACTTCACCGTGGTGCTCGTTTAGGGTGTGAGAGGCCTAAGGTTCAAATCCTAGTCAAGGCAACTTTTTTTTGAAGTGTTTTTTTAAAGGAAGTAGCCACGATATGCAAGGAAAAAGTGTGGCTGTCTTAAAAAATTGATTTTTTGATGCAACTCGTCATGCAAAATTCCATATGTATCAATCTCAAACTGTTATAGACGCAATCGCTGCGTAAGATTCATTATAGTATATAAAAATAAACTTATACAGGAAAATACATACAGATAGTCAGTATGATTTAGATTGCAAAGATCAGAAAATACCACAGAGGTTGCAGCCCTTTGATATATATAATAAGGTTTTTAAGCGAACAGCATGGATCCTGATCAAACTACGCGGATAGTAGGCTGGTCTGGATCCATGCTGGTCGCAAATGCATTATGTTGGTTTTGTCATGACGCGGCTCAAATGTATTACAACGTTTGCTATATATATGAAAGACCGGTGGTGACATTTAAACTTACAAACTAATGAATTGACGTAAATTTACATGCTTGTAACCATTTCTTTAATATGCTTAATAATACATGTATATAGCTCCACTCTGTACAGAATGTCGCTGCTTATTTACCATGTAATATAACCATTACATACTTCTGTACCCTTATATTGGTGTTGTATGCACTGTAATTAGAATTAAAATAAAGTCTGTACTTTATTCGCGATGGGTTTTTGCCTGGTTTTATTCATTTATTTATTTATTTATTTATTTATTCATTTATTTTATTTTGTTTTTTTAATTTTGACCATTTTGTGTCATAATTGCTTAGGTTCTCGAAAAATATAGGAAAATTATTATGACTTCCTACTCAAAATTATTTTCATTTGACTACCATTTTAAATTGAATACCGTATGCTGCCTAGCCAGTCGGTTTACCTTTCACCTTCAATTACCTGCCATGGTGACATTGTATGACTGCATATTTAGTTTATCAACCATAGAATACCTTTCTAATTATCAAACCTACTATATACCGTATTATACAGTAATACCATTCTAGCTTCCCAGTCTGTCATTAAATTTATAAAAGTTCATGTCATAGTTACCACTCACCGATGATCAAGTTCGGTAATTATTACTAGTATTAGATGTTACGCATATGTTGCGTCGAATAAGCGTAACGTCAAAATGACCTGTTTTAACGTTACGTTTAAAATACCAGAATATATTTCGTCTGATTCTAGTATATAGGTATTATCATTGCTATAGATAACTAGTAACAGCAAAGAATTAATGTATAAATCTGCAAATAGAAAAGAGACATTTGAATATTAAAAGTTTGTGTGTTTGTTTGTTGTTGTTTTTTGTATGTTTTGGGTATTGCGTCACATCGACACAGTATAGGTCATACCGCGACGTTCCAGCTTTACTGGTGGAGGAATACCTCAGGTGCCCTTCTGTGCATTATTTCAGGCACGAACGGGCACCTGAATAGAACCACAGCATTTCGTAGGCTAGCTGGATAACTTCCTCACATGAAAGAATCCAAAGTCCCTGTCGGGATTCGAACCCACAGCGGTGAGGGGCAAGTGGTTTGAAGTCAACGACCTTAACAACTCGGCCACGGACGCCCCGAAAAAAATATAAAAAGTAAAAAAAAATCACCATAAAATTATTAAGAGTAAATTAAATGCGACTGTATAAAAGTAATGCCTACGACGTTGCTTCTTTTGGAAACAACATATGGCACCTTTTGCATTAAATCGAACAATTTCTGCTGTTTTGCTTAATAGTATACTGCTGCACTTTGAATCATTCATATTTGATAATTGGTTTATGAGCTTTTGAATGCTAGTTGACATAATTTTTGATATTGTAACTTAAACGACGAATATGTAGGAAAACATAAATATTGGATTATCAGAAAAATGTTTTCCAAGTGCGGCGATTTCTGTCTTATCTAGGAAAATGCAATTTAATTACGAAAAAAAAAAAGATCACTATACTACGATTATTTTTGTAACTGATGAACTGCACTGCACAGAAAAATAAACTGTACATGTAAATTTGTACGTAAAATAGTACGTCATTTGTGATAAATTATGTCAACGGCTACATAATTATTTCCTGAAATTTTTAACTTTATTTATTCTGTAGTCGTCAAAGTCGAGCGACAATAAGTTTAGCGTGTGCCAGCCAAAGTCGTTCTATCATTAGTTGTACTGTACGCTTAAATGGCACGTAACGTCTAAAAGAACCCAATGTGGAATTATAGCAACACGTATTTGAGCCGTGTCACGACAAACCCAACAAAACGGGTTTGCGACCAGAATGGATCCAGACCAGCCTGCGCATCTGATGTGTTACCACAACGAAACTAAAATAGCACAAGCAAATTGTGCTCGCCTCAAACAATCTTGCAGACATTTTAGTAAGATCTTTTTGATAACGTTTTACACTTACACAATAATAGGTTTCCACAATTTAATCTCCAAACTAAGAACAAATTCTTGCAAAAATAACTTTTATATATATGAAGTATATTATTCCTCGTCGCAAGTACAAGTGTGTGACTGCAAGACTTGGCAATATCCTTTAATTGAACCTCCGATTGTATTTACGTCATTAATTGATTGTCGATAATTTGAAGCAGTTACTTCTTGTTGATAACTGACACTCAAAATTTGACAAAAATTAAATTTACTTCACGTGTATCCAGTTAGATATTTATATATGCAAATCACAAATATTTCTTTGCTAAAGAAAAAAAACGTGGAAAGAAAAGAAGAATTGAAGAAACTACACTGCTAGATGTATGTCTTCATAATTTTGTAAAAGTGCAGATTTTGCAGTACGTATTGTAAGTTTTAAGATTATTTGCATAAAGATAGGAGGCAATGTCGATCATCCGGTATTATAATAATTATAGTAAACAACCGTGTCTTTTGTCAGACTATATACGTATTATTTGTAAATAACAACAATTAGTTTGAATGATATCACTTGTTATAATCTAGTAAACAATGGATTTTATTATTTGTGTGATTTTATACATGTATATTTTATAATTCTAATATTTAAGTTTATTTTTGTATGAATTGACGTACTCCGTGGCTAAACCCTTAACCTGCCAGACCAAACATTCAGTTTTTGCCACTCGCAAAGTCAGGCCAGCCAGCACATCATGTTTTATATTTGCATATCAAAACCCCTTAAATTGCCTCCAGATGAGCCATAATATTACAAGAAAGGCTGGAGAAAAAATGTTCTAACATTTTAAAAAAAGTAAAGAGATTTAAGATTTAAGTAGTAATTTACATTTTATTTGCGATTAAAGTATTTATCAACCTATTGCTACTGCGTTACTAAAATTTTGATTGCTATTTTTTGCTTATTATGAACGCGTGGATTGCAAATGCTGTTTGCAATGTATAAGTTATTATTTTTTATTTTTTATACTTTTAGAATTTTCATGACAATTAGCATGATCTAGAGGCGTGCTGCCTTTAATTATGCTTATTAGACTGTTCTAAATTAGGAACAGGGCAAAGGCGTGACGGACATTCAGCATCTTAGAGTTTTTAACTTTTGTCACAAAGTTCCTTTTATAATTATTGGAGAGGTCATCAGACCTCTCCACAGTGTTCAGACTAATTGTTGGTGGCATCCATTTTTGCGTATCTGATTGTAATTACAGCTTAAAACCATAAGGGGGAATTTACAAAAATTGTTTTGCGCATGCTCCGTTTCAAAAATACGACTAAATTAACATCGAAGTAAACAAATAACCACAATAATTATGTTGTTTATTTCTGTCACCTTTATATAAATGTTAAGTGTAAATGATCTAACTGAAGGCATTATCTAACTATACAGATTTAATGCAATTCAATTCAATTCAATTCAAATAGTTTATTTACGTCTCATCACATGTACAACACATATATCACAATAAAAATGAATAAAACTGGTAAAAGTACATATGCCATTCAATATAGAATTATAAGAGACGTGTAAGCAAATCTTACATCTATAGGTAAATATAATAAAAGATGATTATATACTATACACACTTATAATAAATGAATTGGGAATGCTGTGAATCTATCTATATTTCATATTCCTACTAATGTGTCTAAAAGTCTATATATAAAACAATTCACTAGTCTGATGTATAACAATTCTGATGAAAGTTAAGAGAAATAAAATACTAAAATGTATAAAAATAAAAAAAATTCAATCTGTAAGATTCACAACACTCTATCTTAAATACCTACTTAATAAGAGAAATAGTTACCTACAATAAAGTAAAAGACGTCTATGTTTTAAAATATTAAAGCATGCTTTGGCTGTAAACTTTGTCAAAATTGGATTAACAAAAACGTTATGCATTTTCTCCACATCAGATAAGTTGTCAAAATTATTAACAATTGTTCTCGCAGATTCAAATAGGTCTTCCCTGAATTGTAAATAGAGTGGACAGTGTAACATAACATGTATCTCATCTTCTACAGTATCAGTACAGTTAAAACAAGTTCTTTCATGTATTGACAGATTTTCATACCTCCCCGTTTCCAATCTTATCGGTGCAACACCGCATCTAAATAATGCCATAGCTCTTCGATAATGAAAAGGCAAATGTTGTTTTACATAAGTTTCAGTTTCAAAAACATTCTTGAACATTCTATATGTTCTTAGCTTATTTCTACCATTTCCTGATATAGATGACACACGCTCTAATGATTGTTTCCATTTATTAACTTCTACATCAAAAATTTTTTCCTCAATTTTTGTTACAATTGCTTTAGTATTCACTTGATTTGTGTTAAAATAAATCTGGTCTTCAAAATTAATACTCTGTAACATTTCTGTAATTCGAAAAATACTATTCTTACACCTAATACTAGCTACTGATTTTGACCAATTAAAGACTTTTTTATTCAATCTTGAATCATGCATATTTAACATTCTACAGTGTTGTCGTATAACAGCGCCCCATTGCTGAACTATCAGTGGCTTCCAGCCCATCTCACCTAGGACTGCTGAATTTGGGGTGTATTTACCTACCCCTAGAAAATAACGCATTGCCCTATTATGAATAGCATTTATACACGAGTATGACTTATCTCCCCATATCGGGGCTGCATAACTAATGACAGGCCTGACAATGGAATCATAAAGTTTAGTAAAGGTAGAGAACTGAAAGCCACCAAAAGTTTTACATTTGGAAATAATAAGACCAAGTGCTCTTCCTGCAGAGAGAGCTACATTCTTAGCAATTTCAGCAAAATTCAAAAATTCATTTAAAATAACACCAAGATACTTATAACTATGTGCAACAGATATCATTGTCGAACCTATACTAAAAACATGATTTGTTAAGACACAACTATTTGTTCTAAAATGAACTACATTTGACTTATCCCCATTAACACTCATTTTATTATTAATACACCAGACACTGAGAATGTCAAGCAAACTTTGTAAATCCCTAGCAGATTCAGCAATAAGCACAACATCATCTGCGTATAGTAAAATATTGATGATATCATCATTGAATTTAACTCCTATACCTGATTCTTTAATAACTGTAACTAAGTCATTGATGTAAAAATTAAATAAAATTGGCGACAGCCTTGTTTAAGACCACATTTGACTTCAAACCAACGAGAATCAAACCCATTTAGTCTTATGCAACATTTTACATCTTTATAAAGCGACATAACCGCATGAAAAAGTTTGCTTTGTAGTCCACATTTTTCTAATTTCGACCATAACAAAGGTCTTGGGATAAAATCATATGCTTTTCTAAAATCTATAAATGCTGTAAATGTACTTTTTTTAAAAAGTTTTCTTGTTTCTATAATATTGGTTAATGTTTGTACATGGTCAATTGTACTTTTGCCTTTTATAAACCCATTCTGCTCATCATGAATAATTTCATTTGATATACACCATTTCTTGATACGTTCATTTAATACACTACAGTAAATTTTATAAATGGAAGGAGCTAAAGTGATACCTCTGTATGATAGAGGATCTCTAGGGTCAGATGTTGATGATTTTGGAATTGGTGTTATAATTCCTTTGGACCAGGCAGATGGTACATTTCCTGTCTTATAACAGTGATTGAAAATATTTACAAGCGTATAAAGGGCCGAATTATTTTTTAAAAGCTCTGCAGGTATATTGTCAAAACCTGGCGATTTACCCGATTTAGCTCGTAAAATTGCTTGACGAGTTTCCGCAATTGATATATTTTCGTCATCAACATCCATCCCATTGAGATTGGCGTCTTTCGATGGCATTACATAAGAGAAGTCATTTTCATCATTTGTGTTCAAGAGACCAGAAAAGTCATGTGCCCATTTATCTAATACTTGACCGGCATTTTTGTTAATGGAACCATCAGGCCTAACTACTTCAAAAGGTATTTTATTCATTCTTTCATTTCCAATTCCTATCTTTCCAATTTCTTTCCAAAAATCATTTGTGTTCTTATCAATAAGATCATCAATGTTATTTTGGGCCTGAGATACATAGCTTCTCTTAGTCGATTGGACACAGCGATCAAAAAGCCTTCTCTTTTCAACATATTGTTGTTTTAACTTTTTCTTTTCATGTGAAGTAGATTTCAACCATGATTTTTCAGATTTACTCAAATCAGACCACAAAACAGACAATTCATTAGTCCACCACGGCTTACTGGTTCGTAATTTTTTATTTGTGCGCCTGGATGTGGTGAATTTAACACATTTATGTTGTAACTTCTCTGTCATTTCTACATTAAATGCATGTTACCTACACGAACAATTGAGGATGACATTCGACAAATCTAACTAGTTTACCATTAACGTTATGATTTCGTGACTGATTAAGTGAGGCAGCACTTGAAAATTCATGAAAGATCGCATTTTATATACTTTCTTATTTTGCTTATATGACAGTAGTAGATCGACAAATGTCTAAAATTTAAATTAAGAAAAAAGCATAAAGTTTTATATTATACCTCATTTGCATACGCCTTTCTATATTTAATATGACGTCATCCTGTCCATAAACCGCATACAGACCGGGGCGGTCCATAATTCTTATATTGACTGGATGACGTTATATTAAACTTAAAGTTCGGGTTTTTTTCTGCTAACAAAAATTGAATAACAAAAGATCAGGTATCGCTTGAAAATAAATAGAGGATATTTGTTTGTTTTGCATGTAAGATTGAAATATAATTTCACTGAGTGAACACCAGATGCAATATTTTCACGAGTGGCGTAGCCACGAGTGAAAATATAATAGCTGGTGTTCACGAATGAAATATATTTCAATCTTATATGTAAAACAAATAAATTTTCTTTTTATTTTATGCTTTTTAAGTAATTTTAAGTATTTTTTTTACTGATTTTGCCGCGTAACGTCGCGCATTTTCCTTTGTGACGTCATTATATCATAACGTCACATCATAAGTTTTGAAATATAGTTCTGTTAAATTTCTCTTATTTTGTTAAATTTTTAACATGATAAATGATGACATTGACTTTCTTTCCCTAAATAAGCAAAATTTACGTATGACGGCATTTATTTCTGTCTGTGATTCCATTTGGTTATGATTTTCTTTTCATCCGCATTCAGATATAGTCCGGCTACAGTGAAAATTATATTTTATAAATTTCACTAGTGGTTTATCAGAATTTAATCATCTGA